TTAAAAAGGCTGGAGTGGCTATTTCACTCTAAGAAAATATAAACATTAGAACAACGGATATTACTACTTCTTGTATTTTTGACTAACACGAACAGTAGTTCAAGTTTTATCAAGTTTCTAAATTTATCTTTGTAATTCCTAAAATATCCTATAATGAAACTAAAAGCCATATTATTGATTTTTAAGGGGTTATGCTTTTAAAGAATCTACAATCTGATGAAACAGACCAAGTATAGATCACCATTATGGAAATTCTCAATTTTTCTCAAGAATAAGAGAAGTTCTGCAATAGGTAAGATATGGTCATATTTAAATTGATCAAAACAAATCTTTTCAGAAAGTAGAAATAGAGGCAACTATTATGGAATTTAAAATTCATTGCATTGTGTAGAAAAGTAGTTGATTCTGCACACCAATTATACATGGCATGTGCTATGAGACAGTGAACAGTGTATGTTGTGTTTTTTTCTATTCACATTGAAATGATTTTGATATTAGAGTTATCTTACCTGTCTATTGCGGTTTCTGTTTGTATTTGTTCATGAACACGTACTGGAGGAAATATGTCTTTAAATTTGGTATTTAGCAGAAGTTTCTGGACTATGATAAACTACATTCAAACATCAGTTGAGAATATTATATCAAGAATCTTGGATTCAAAGGACTGTTGATCCATGACATCAATTAGGGATTTAGTAGAGTGTGAAACTTAAAATTGTCCAACTTTGGTTGTAGGTAAGTGAGGATCTATTTTGTTTCATAAATAATCGTCATAATAATGACTACATTAATCAGTAACTCTTGCCTACTAACTGCTATATTTCAGGCATGATACCAAACTTTACATTTAGATAATTTCTTTTAGCACTTCCAACAATTCAGTGAGGCAGATTCTTTTATTATGCCTATTTCTCAAATGCTGAAACAAATCTTCATGCAAATTTCTTCCAAAAACTTTAAGTCAGGGCCTCTTAGCTAAAAACATAAACAGCATTGAAATCCAAGCACTTCCAGTCTCTTTCCTCACGTCTTTTTAAACCTAAGAATCAATGTTTTAGATTTTATACATCTGGAAAAATGTTTCATGTACATGTATATGTGTGTTTGTATTATATCTGTCATCTTCTATACTTTCAGCAAAACAGAGCTTATCAATGCAGAAATGAAGACTGGCAAATAAATTTGAGCTTCGCAGTCAATCTGTTTTTAAACCTTGACTGATTCTTTGCTTTCGAATAACAACCAGATCATTTCATGTGTTCTTCAGTCTGAGATTTGGTTGCATTGCCCAGTTAATCAAAGAAGACTTTATTGTTCCATTGTGTCTGCATATGGCTTTCAAGGCTTTTAAAAAGAAAACAGAAGTTTTGTTTTATTCACAAAGAACTCAATTTCTATGCATTTCTTATTGAGGAGATTTTAAATCTCTCCTAAATTATCATTTGATGTCACATGTCTCTGCATTGCCTCTGAGGAAATTGTAAGCTCTTCGCAGAGTTTATGCTTTATGCTCTATTTTGTGTCTTATAATATTTTTAAATTTTAGTTTAGAATTACCATACCTTTACCAATGAAAAAGCAGGGGCTGGGGATTTAGCTCAGCGGCAAAGCGCCTGCCTGGCAAGCGCAAGGTTGTGAGTTCGGTTACCGGTACCGGAGAAAAACCAAAAAAAACAAAAAGAAAAAAAAACAAAAAAAAACCAAACAAACCAATTGAAAAGCAGTGAGTTCAAATAAAACCTTTTTCACTTAATAAATTGTCCTTAAGTCTTATGTATTTTAATCTTTACTTCTGTAACATCAAAGAGGACATCAAATAGCGTTTCATTAATTCATTGAAATTCATCACATATATTCAGGGTCCCTTTCCATTGAGTTAAAGCACTATCCATTTACTTAAGATACAATAAAGTTTACCCCTATCCTCAAGTCTCACATCATGATTGAAAATAGAATCAGTAAGTAATTGTTGAATAAATGATCTAATTATAATTTGGTCTGCAAAATTATTAAACTTCCGCTGAACACATTGCTTTAATCCATGGTTATGTGCCAGAAAAAAATGCAAAACAGAGGAAGAAAACAAAACCAATGGAGATATGAGAGATTTAAAGACAAACTTGAGCATTTACTGTTTTGTGTTCTGCTTTGTAGACTCAAAACCGACACAAAGAAAAACTATGTTATTTGAAATTTGACTTTTTAGATTTGGGACAACAATCAAACAAATGAGCAAAGAAGCTTTTGAAGCCAAAATGTGGCCTAGATTCTTTCTTTTAAGAAATCTTTTTTTTTTTTCTTTTTCCTTTTTGACCTGACTTAAAACTCACAGCTCCTACATCCTGAATAGATAATATAAAATAGCATGAGGAGGACATTTCCTTATGGAACAGCTCTTCACAAGTCACGATTAACCTCAGTTGCAGATTTTGTTTCTAAGTTATACCCTTTCTTCTCTGTACCCAGTTAGCATTTCTGAAATTCTATTTATTGAGGGCTTAAATTCTGTGGTATTTCAAAATAAGTATCCGTTGGCCTGATTTTTCCAGATGTATGAAGTACAGGCAAGTTACAAACATTGTTTATTTTTTGCATCTTTTTCATCACTTGAAGTGGCCTGAAATGAATAAAGCATTGTCATAGTTTTGATTTGTATTGTTCCACAAGTCTCTTGTATTGAAGGTTGGTCCACAGTGCAGACATTTCTGAAGTGGGACTTTTGAGTGCTGATGGGATCGTGAGGGTTCTGACCCCATTACTAGGTTAATTCATTGATGGCTTCAAAATCTGAGCACTGCTGGAAAGTGATAGAAACAGGAAGTGTGCAGTGAAGCAAATGGGCCCTGGGGATCTCTCCCTCTCTCTCCCTCTCTCTCCCTCTTTCTCTCTTCCTTTATCTTTCTTTCTCTCTCTCTCTCTCTCCCTTCCTCTCTCTCTTCTTCCCTCTCTCTTGCTTTCTCTGTTTCCTGTCTTCCATGAGGTGAGAAGACTCCTCTACCACATGCTTCCACCATGATTCTTGGCATCCGCTCAAGTCTAAAGCCATGGATCCAGCTGTCCATGGATCACAATGTTTGAAACCATAAGGGAAAATAAATCTTTTCTCCTTTAGGTTGATCTTCTTAATTATTTTGCCACAGCAATGAAGACCTGGCTATTACAGACATTCTACATATACATTAAGATTATTTTATACTTCTGCATTGTTATTAAAGACCTATTAAATGAGAGCTATGATTCATGTTTACAGTATGAGGCATAGAACCCATATTCTGTGAGCTCAGGATTACGTTGAGACAAAGCATATGCAGTGTGTGATTGTTACCAAAACAATGGTAGATCCAGGGAGACACCTGAAATGCAGTGAGTTTAAGAGTGCCAATGGTAGGAAGAGAAAGAAAAGTTGTGATTGTGGAATGAAATACTCTTAAGAAAACTACTTAAAACTTATTCTTTAAAGGCACAAATAATACTCTATATGCTAGTGTTTCAAAAGTACTTCATCATAACCATAAGCATCATTTAGCTGACATTTAATGAATGCTTACAAAGTTTCATGCACCACACCAAAAATTGTTTTCGGACTGATGTACTGCTCTTTACCAAAACCCTGTAGGTTAAATGTAGTCATTATTACCATTTTGGAGATGAAGAAGTGGAGGGAGATTGAGAATAAATAACCTTTTCCAACCCCAAATGTAATAAGTCATGGAGCTATCTTTGTGAGATCTGAGGGGATCACCCAGCTCATATTTTAGCATTATTCTCAAATATGCTACCAGCATGGAGAAGTTGCTTTTTTGTGTCCAACTTTATTTTCAACATTTTTCTTTTATTTTGTACCATGATTCTCAGATTACTAATAATTAAAGTATAACTCTTATTTCCATAATAACTAGGAAATAAGGAAATTATTTTTTAATTTTGCTTAATTTTCATTAAAGATGTGCTATAGTCAGTCTAGAGTAATAGATCCTTAGTAGAATATAATATTATTTTAAACATTTAAAAGGTTATGGACTTTCAATGACACAATGCCTTTCAATGTTTTGTACCTGACCACCTAATACTATTTTAAACATTTAAAAGATTACAGACTTTCAATGACACAATGCCTTTCAGCATTTGTACCTGACCACATAACGTTTGAGAAAAGTTAATTTACTTTTTAATCTACAGAAAGTATGTAGGTAAAAATATTCCTTTCATAAACTTTGAAAGTAAAAGAGTGAGGCCGGTGTGTGGCCCTCAATATTATTCTAGAAATGCTGATTGATTTGTTGTTTACTTAATGGATAATCACTCATTTTTTCAATATCCAGTTCACATACCAGACCATCTAGCATGCTCTTTAATAATTTATTGTAAAAGTGAATCATTGTTCAATTTTATGCCATACAATCATAATTCACTTATAGAAAAATGCTAGATGAATCACTTTGCTGGCTCTAGTACCATTTGAATTTCTTTAGTACTAGATGTGCTATTTCTTGAACAAGCTTTGACCATAAAATTATAGCATTAATTATGTTATATAAATGACTTGATGAAGCCATGTATTATAGAATCCTCTTCCTGTTGCTCTCACTGGTTTTCAGTCTCTTAAGCCTTCTTAAAACAACTCATACAGGGCTGGGGATTTAGCTCAGCGGCAAATCGCCTGCCTGGCAAGCGCAAGGTCGTGAGTTCGGTTCCTGGTACCGGAGAAAAACCAAGAGAAACAAAACCAAAAAAACAAAAAACAAAAAACAACTCATACATGTGAAACCCGTAGATCTCTACATTTAGACTTTCTGCTTCTCGACTGTCTTTTTTTCTTTGGATAGCTAATATTCAGGGGATAAAGGATATTGTGGGTATCCCAGATACGGTATTCATACTGATACATTCTTTTATGAAGATCTGAAGTAATGTTAAGAGGTCTATGTAGCTTTCTATACTCCACATGATACAAACTAGGAGTATCTACCGATATGAAAGATGACTTGGAGCATGTATGGTCTTATATGCAAGACTCACACAGATTTGGAAATATATAGAACATATTCATTGAGCATCGTGCACATCTGAAGAATAAAACAACACAAATTAGATTCTAATTCATTGTTGAGGTGCAATTAATATTGAGAAAATATTTAATATAGACTTTGGAAAATACTGATTTTTAGGTAACACAGAATTAATTTACAAGTAGATTTAAAGTCTTCCTTGAGAGAATTCAGAGACAGATGTTTTCTTGAGTCTAAGTGTAAGTGTCTGGCTACAGATATTTCTTTTAATTCTCATATCACA